TCGTGTCCTGTGTTGACAAGAAACCTTAGAGCATTTATATGTATAAATGCTCTAAGCAAGAAACAAACATAACGTACACAGCTGTGTTAGTTAGACAGTTTTATGAGTGTATTCATTCATTGCACGTGTACAAGACAAAAACAATAGATTAGAAGACCCGAACCCGAACTTTCATTTTGGATTGTACTGCTATTATTTCGGGGAATTCCAAGTAAGACGTCATTATATTTTACTAACTACGACTTGCGGAGTCTCCTTTTTGAAATTCGAGTTAAAGAGTATAAATATGTATTATCAATACTTCGTAGGGAAACAACATTTTGTTCGAGTTACAAAGTCTAAATAATTCGAGATACCGCGTATTTAGGAGTTCAGCGGAAGGGAATGGCAATTTTTTTCGACTTACTGAGGATTTCGACTTAACGAGGTTCGAGTTATTGAGATTCCACTGTACCACTTAAACGCCATTTGTCATTTAATGCACAGAGACAAAACATTGAATATTAATCCAAACATATTCTTTATTTATTATTAACTAGCTGTGCCCCGCGGTGTTACCCGCGGCTTATTAGGGATCTTTTCTCGGGGTAAGACACAGCCTAGCCTATGTGTTAATCCAGGGTGTCAGCTAACTCCATACCAATTTTTATTAAAATCGCTCCAGCCGTTTAGACGTGAAGAAGTAACAAACATACACACTCACAAACTTTCGCCTTTATAATATTAGTGTGATATACATACACATTACAATAGTTGTGGGTCTCTATTATACTGCGTACTTTCACATTGCTCCAAATATTCACACTCCGAAATTTTCAGTTACTAAGTAGAAAAAAATATTATAAGTTTTTGGACCATAACTCCTTCAATTTTCATGTTATCACAATTTATGAAAAACCATTGTAAAGGTAATTAAGAGAGCTACAACATCCTTCATTGCAATATCTCTTATCTATTAGACAAGTCCGTCCGTCCGTCCGTCCGTGGTGCTGTTTCAGCGGCCAAACCGTAAGAGATAGATAAAGAGAATATTTAAGTTATAAGTTGAGAATAGTCTGATAAGACTACAAACCGGATGTGAATAACGTGGCACTTCCGGTTTTCGAGAAATCACGTGATTTCTATTTCAAACGAAACCACACAAAATCTCCGAAGTTCTCAATTAATTAATTTTTTTTTTGGTGAACATTTGGTTCACTGGTTTGCTAGTATATTAAAAATTTAAAAAATCAAAAAACCCGACTGCTTAATTATACTTCAAATAAAAACTGAAAAGAAAAAAACAAGTCCAGTAGTCTATAATTCTGTTAATAAGGAACAAAGCTACTTTAACAGTCGGGACCCATTAGATATTCAAGAATACATAATATTTTTCAACAGTGGGTCCCGACTGTTTAAGTAGCTTTGTTCCTTATTAACAGAATTATAGACTACTGGACTTGTTTTTTTCTTTTCAGTTTTTATTTGAAGTATAATTCAGCAGTCGGGTTTTTTGATTTTTTAAATTTATCTTTTTTATTTCACACTTTTAGTTAGTTAGTATTTTAAGACGGTATATACCGTAGTTTTGTTACTTCAGTAAGGGAATTAATATCGCGGGAATTATTAAGTACCTTGAGTCGGTCTAAAAGATTGATTTATTAAGACATATAGAGACTTTACCAGCGAGGTCAAGGCTACAATCAATTTTCGCAAAAATGTGTGAAGTTAAATTAAGTCGTTACATAAATATCTCTAATGTATGTAAATTTTATAGTAAACTAGCACTTACTCAAAAAGTCATCTTTTGTTTATGTTTTTTTTTAATAGTTTAGCAGTAAATATAAAATTTATTTACTTTTATTCGTCGACTATTTAAAATTGGTAATGGCTGCATTGTCATGTCAATACCGGACGACTAAGATTGTGATATACACAAATGCAGTGTCAGTCCCTAGTGTCATAATTTGATATACCTACATAATTCACAGAAACCCAATATGTAGATGCCAGAAGTTAACTTCAAATGTTTTAATCACCCTATATACAATACCAATCAATGACGTTTATGTCGCAGGTTGAAGAAAACAGTAATTCCCGTTTGTTGTTTTGGACAATGGTGGCAACTGCCTTAGATCACTAAATTAAATAATTATGCAATCACCAAAGCAAAGTTTACAATATTTGATTTAACTAAAGGCGCATAATAAAATTGTCATAACGTTAGGTAGAGCACCATAGCAATCTCATTTATTATCAACTAGTGGCCCGCCCTCGCTTCGCTTCGGTGTAGAGCTGTAGTGTAAACTATAGTTTTTGTTCTCAGGCTTGTGCTATAAAGAATGACTTTATTTATATAATTACACGTGTTATTGTGAGTCAACCATAAAAGATAGACATATGTTGTTGCGGGATATTTTTTAGACAATTTTATGTAGAATACATGATTTCTATGTAACTTTTACCATTAAGGCTGCAGCCGCGACGGAAACTTAAAAAATGGAGTAACTTCTCCCGTTTTCCCAACATTTCCCTTCACTACTCTGCTGCTATTGATTGTAGCGTGATGAAAAGTATACTATAACCTACCCGAAACTTGGTACAATTATTCTTCATACTCCTATGAAAAATAATTGTACCAAGTTTCGTTAAAATCCGTTGAGTAGTTTTTGTTTCTATAAGGAACATACACACAGACAGACAAAAATTTTACTGATTGCATTTTTGGCATCAGTATCGATCACTAATCACCCCCTGATAGTTATTTTAAAAATATATTTCATGTACAGAATTGACATCTCTACAGATTTATTATAAGTATAGATAAGGGGGTATATGTTCAATAAGTTCGCTATTGAACAAATCCCGAGAATTTTGTTTATCTGCTATAATGCAAACTCAACTTATAAGAGTATAAAAACGACGGAGCGCATCGAGAAAAGGTAGGTAATACCCTTGCGCTTCGCTTATCCCCAGATTACTTTATGTATACTGGCTGTTTCAGCAGTATAATTTTCACATTATCAAAATTCATCAATATTATATCGGACATACAGAAAAACAGTTCTTTTTCTCTCGCTATTTAAATATTAGTTGCGTTGTCTAAAGTTTTTATTCATCATGCATCATCATCTAATTTATATCTATGAAATATATATTTGAACCTATTTTGTTATTACAGTTTAAGAACTGAGATAAAAAGCTGTTATCATGACGTTAGATTCGATCGTGTTCTATAAATTCGTGGGCGATAAAACTTGTGAAATATATTTCATAAACAGAGGACTTAAAGTCGACAATGATAGATATTGTTCGTAGGGACGATATTGATTGGATCGTTGGATATTACAATTAAATCACTAAATGTCAAGTATCGATATATATATATATAAGTACATATTATATTGATTTAGTATGGAGAGTTAATTGACATACGGAATTTCGATTATTGAAATGGTTTTAATGTAACCTTTATTATATGCATCGTTGTCCATAGTGTACCAGCTTTCACTATGGGCAGAATTACCTAAACAGAATGGAGTTCACCACTCGGGCCCAAAGAGTGTTGTAGAGTTGTAAAAATAGGTGCAGGCGGGACCAATAGCTTAACGTGCATCCTGAAGCACGAAGGAGCTCAAGAAAATAATCCGTTACCCATGCTATGACTAAATTAAATGTAGAAAAAAATCTAACACCATTGCAAAACAGGAACAAATAAGTTAAAGATATAATTTTTATTATTTTTAAAGCATGTAACTGCTTGATGTTTAAATCTAAAGAAAATATTAATAATTATTATATTAATATTATATTAAAAATAATTGCGAAGGGTGCGGGTTCGAGTCCCGTCTGCTGCCTGGTCCGCGTGGAATTTTTTCTAGTTATATTTTCTTTAAGTTAAAGATATGTTCAAATATGTTAAAAAATTGTCATTCTACTCGGAAGATTGACACACTCTCTCGTCCCATTCAAGAGTTTAAGGATCATGGGATATAAAATTTGGTGTAGTATATTTTGATTGGAAAACAAATTTAAAGGAAAGCCATTCGCCGAGCCAAGCCAACTCCAGCTCTGTTCAAACCAGAGCAAATGGAATAGCTTTCAGGGCGGGCACATCGGTGTTACATTTCGTTAATTGGCACTGTGTTTGCGGCCTCGGCCTCGTACAGCCCGATTTCGAGTAATTATAAATGTTGTAAGCACCTTTTACCCTAGTGGTACAGATAGTATGACTCGACTAAATGTTGATAGCTAGCTTTTTACAGTGGGTTAAGTACGAGTGCCCTAAAAGAGGAGTGTAATGTTTTAAAAAATCATGTAACTTCTGATATAAACCTTCAAATATCCAAAACACTTCAGGCATTTACTACACAATAGCAATTATAAGAGACAATACGTAACCAGTGTGAGCAAAGGAGGGCTTATATCTAAAAGAGATCTCTTACAGCTAACCAAGGTTTTGTGAGGGAGATGTAAGCAGGTGAAGAAGGTTTTTGTAGTATTTTCAAAAATGTGTCTACCTTGTATCGCAGAACTTTTAATGTCAAAATATGATTTATTAGCGTCAACTTCATTTCTATATAAATATACTTATATATGTACAGTATATGTATTCTATCCGTTACCCTAGTATCCCATAACAGAAGCCTTATAGTGCTTACTTTGGGGCTAGGCTAATTGGTGTGTGTGTTGAATTTTTTTTTATTTCAATTGAAAGCGAAAAGCAGAAACTCGCCCAATCCGAATATGAATCGAACAGCAGAATGGACTGAGTTAAAAATTAAATTAACAACTCTATAGAAACATTGAAATTGCTGTAAAACCCATAGATACACTATTGGCTGCATGGCTGTACGATTGTTTCATTTCTTTCAAACTTATCAGCCAAGGTTTATTTACATTTGGACAGGGAATGCTCAGTCCGTTCACTGTTTAATCTTAATCGAGTGAAATTTAAATTTTAATCGAGTGAAAATCCAAGTACATATATAAAGTCTTATGAACAATGTAACTAAACTAACCTGTGGTGTTAGCTCCGACCGCGCATCCACAACGATGCGAGGACGTGGCTCCAACTTCAAGATGCCTCTCTCTTTGCCCTTAAAAAGGTAAAAAGTTCAAATCAAATAGAAAAAAAACAAAAATCGAAATGCCATCGCAATTGTACGATCTTAATGTTTTTTTTTAATCTAAAGGATCCTACGTCTGAAATTCCTCAAATGTTATGTTTGCCTTTTTTAATTAGTTTTATGGCAGGTTTTGCGATTTGACTATTTTTATTTTATTAATAGCTTATCTCATTTCAAATTAAATATCATATAGAAGTAAAAAAAAAAAATTGTTTTCCTTACATTTTTACACTCCTCTAGATACGTTTTGAGAAGAGGGTATTTTTTTATAATTATTTTTCATCAACTCAGTATCACTCACAATTAAGCAGAAAATAACCTCATAAGGTAAAATACATCATGCGACAAAGGCGACAGATCCTGCCCAAGGTCTAGAAAAGCAAAATCCACGTATAACGGTCGACGCCAGCGCACGATGTGAAATATCTCTGCTTAAAAGCTGCGCTAAATCATTATTCCAAAAAAATACAGTACATAAAAAGTGCAGGTTTTACAACTATAGATTAAGTTATGTTTTTATTTATTTTTAAGTATTTAACTGCTAGATGTTTAAATCTAAAGAAAAGTTTACTAGAAAAAAAATCCACGCGAAGGGTGCGGGTTCGAGTCCCGTCCGCTGCCTGGTCCGCGTGTTTTTTTTTTCTAGTAAACTTTTCTTTAGATTTAAACTATAGATTTAGTTTGACGACCTCCGTGGCCGAGTGGTTTGTACGCCGGGTTTCATGGTGTCGCCGACTCGAGAGGTCCCGGGTTCGAATCCCTGTGGGGGCAGATGTTTGTGTGATGAATACGAACATTTGTACTCCAGTCATGGATGTTTAATATGTATTTCTATATAAATATACTTATACTAGCTGACCCAGCGAACTTCGTACCGCCATAAAAAAATAGGGGTTGGTGGTAGAAGGGTGAAAATTTAGGGTTATATGTATTTACTAATGCTGTATCATAAAAAAAAACTAAAATTGAAAAAAAAATTTAGGGGTGGATTACCCTTAACATTTAGGGGGATGAAAAATAGATTACATCCGATTTTCAGACCTACTGAATATGCATATAAAATTTCACGAAAATCGATCGAGCCGTTTCGAAGGAGGTTAACCACAAACACCTCGACACGAGAATTTTATATATTAGATATGTACAGTATATGTATTTTATCCGTTACCCTAGTATCCCATAACACAAGCCTTATAGTGCTTACTTTGGGGCTAGGCTAATTGGTGTGAGTGTTGGAAATATTTATTTATTTAGTTTGATGTAAGTTCCTCTTTTTGTTTTCTATTAGCCTAATCTTGTAACGGTGATAGAAGAACGGTGCCGACTACTACAGATAAACTATACTTAAAAGGAGTGCACCAAAAATGTTCATAGATATAATAAGTTGAGTTAAAGAGAACAGAAATAATTATTTTTTTATTTATTTCTTTTTATTCCCTTCCGATAGTTGTGTGCATGCTTTACATACTTTGAATACAATTTGCTGCTTTTCCGGATTCCATTCCTGGCTAAATTAAATTCTTATGAATAATAAATCGAGTTTTCTTGTTTTAGTGTAGTATTGTTTCACATTAATACATTGTTAACAGATATAATAGGTTGTGTTAAAGAGAATAAACATAATTTATTTATTTTTATTTTGTTTATTTCATGATAAATATAAGTAAATCTAATCCTTGACAAAGTGATGTGTTATCTTATTTTATTATTGATTTAAGATGAAAGCGGCAACATCAATTTCAATTTAATTTAAAAATAATTCACGTAGCTGGATGTAGTTTGCGAAAAAGAATTGAAATAGAAAAACATGAATATTGTAACAGAAATAAAGAGGAAAATGGAACAAAACAACAAAAAAAGTCTTACTTTAAGTTCTCTTAATGCATTGATTAAATTTCCAAAGATAAATTCTGTTGATCAAGGTTTCATACAATAAATAAACTTAAACAGCAACACAGCGGTATCTGATAGTAATCGGAAAATTAAATTGTCGATGCAAATTGCACCACCGCGTTAGTGTCCTTGAGTTTATATTCACAACAAACAAAATTAGGAAATTGGATAAACGAACATCGAATCGAACGGCATTGTTAATTTAGATTCTACTTTTGTTCATTCGCATGTTACTATTTACTAATGAAGAAAAAAAACTTCTTTACACTATTTAAAATAAGAATAAGCTGAATCGGTCTTTTAAAAAGTATCTTGATTTTTTTTAGATCCGTTACAAAATGCTAACAAACTTACTCGATGTTCTGTTTACCTACATACATCAAACTAGATTAATAATTGCTCTGCTGATTGTGAGAGACACTGAAAGCTTACATTAAGCTCTGCATGCACTAAAAGTAAAAGACTACAGTTAAGTTGATCATTTGAACGTCAAGAGTTCATTTATATTATACAGAAATTGGCGGTACCAAAAGGGTTACCTTAACATCCATGTTGCAAGCCGGCGCACACCGTCTACAATGGTCCACAACTGTGACATGTTCGTGAGCGTCAACGGTCCCTTGGGGCCACAATGTCACAAGTCTGATTATTCAAATTATTCGACCGTCAAAAGCACGCGGGCGATGTTATCATCCTTTACGCTATTACTTTGATTAGACATTGCACGTAGATTGTTATGTCCAAGTTTCCAAGTAATACATTCACGGCATACCCCTAATGAGTATTTAATTGTTACATGTAAGGTATTGATATATTCTTAACAATTTGTCTGTGTTCAAGGATGATTAATGTGTAATGTTAGAAAACGCTGCACTTTTCCAAACTTCCCTTGTGTTATTAACTGTATTGAAAATTTTGCTACTTGTGCATCCCATTGCAACAGTAAGTATCTGCTACTGCTATTTTTATCTAAAGGCAATCATTTTTACTCATGACAATTTCAAATTATTGAAATTCATTACCGTTTATTCAGTTGAGGCTGTTACAAGCACTTGTGAGGGACGAGCAGTTACGCCATTCGTTGGCAAAGGTCGTAACCGGCAAGAAACTCAGAAGGGGCTGTATTTTTCTCTGTTTCATTACATTACACATTAGTATACATAGTTGCCAAGTATGAATAAATCACATTTTAAAGCATATAAATTTTAGAGTTACGCCGTTATGCAACGAGGTTCACGGTAATTAGTGGAAAGCAAAGGTGCTTTTAAAAGGGGTGAGACAGACAGGTCGTTTTACCATCAATTACTGGGAAATAGTATTACGACGAGTAGCAACATAAAAGCTACTTCCGATAGTTGTATGCTTACGCTTTAGATACTTTTAATACAATTTGCTGCTTTTCCGGATTCAATTCCTGTCTAAACTTCGAAAATTCTTATGAAAATTTGAGTTTTCCTTGTTCATTAGGTTAGTATTGTTTCGTCTTTACAACACTTTGTAAATATTGACAGTATTGTAGTAATCTTAGGTCCGTATTCATAGATCACTCTCAACTCTGAGATTACGATCTTGAGATACTATTTTCATACAAAACAGCATCTCAATATTGCTCTCAGAGCTGAGAGCGACCTATTAACACGGGTCCTATAAGTAACTTTCAGATATTTAATAGCGGTCTACACATATCTTATATAAGTACGACTAACTGGATTCGTTACTGTTTCTATAGGTACTTATCATCCCTTATGATTGAGTCTTTTATTAACAACAACTTAAAATGGTAGAACAAGAAGGAAAACTTTGTGTACGATTTCGACATATTCTAATTAACTAAGAAAAAGGAAAAAATATCAATAATATTAATATTTATTCTACTTTGAAAAAATTAATTCCTCATGGTTAAATAGGATTTAAAAATAAAATATTACATTACATCATACTAGCTGACCCACCTAACTTTGTAGGGCGGGTTGATGGGTAGAAGGGTGAAAATGATAGTAAGTATTTTTAAAGCCAAATCATAAAAAATAAAATTAAAAGTTTTGCCATAGAGTTTTGAAAAAATTTGGGGAGGACCATCCTTATCACTTAGGGGTATCCAAAATAGTTTGTGCCCTACTCTCAGACAATATTATACACAAAAAAAAATCATAAGAATCGGTCATGCCGTTACGGAGGAGTTTGGTTACCACTGTGATACGTGAATTTTAAATATTAGATTTAGATTAGTTACATTAAAGAGACATCTCACCTGTAATAGACGAAGCAACAGAAAAGTCACCCCTGTTTTCCCAGCAACCCCGTGAAGTTTTACGGAAATAAGAATGACTGCATGAAGTTTTAACATTTTCACGCTAGGTGTCGCTTTGTTTAAAAAGCTAAAATACATCAATCGAGGAGCGATGGCAAAAGTGTTTTTTGGTTGAACGTGAAATCTCCGAAACTAGTGGTCCGATTTAAAAAAAAAAGTGTTAGATAGTGCATTTATTGAGAAAGTCTTAAGGCTATATAACATCACGTTAGGAGCGGATCGTCGATGTAAAATGTTGCAAAAGTGGGTAAAAATATTCCATTTGTGAGCTTCTGTTGCTTGCGCTGCTTAAATGAATAAAGTGACACAAAAATCATATATTATGGAATTGTTTCCCTTTAGTATTCTACAAAAAAGTCCGCAACCGCATTATGCTCAACTTTTAAGTTAGGCTCACAATAACCTTTTTCCTCAAATTAACGCGGGTGAAACTGCAGAGGACCTATTGTTGTGACAAAACTGTAATAGTGACACAAATGGTATCGCGGACTTTTTTGTCCTCTATAAAACTTTAGTACATCACTGTGCTCTACTGTCAATGACTTCCGCAGCGTAAGCGATATAAGGTTACTTTTTGGTATATTTTTCACAACCTGGGTTACGTTATCGAAGTTTTCATACGGAACCCTTACTTTTTCTAATATTAGTATAGATTTCCTCTTTATAATATTAATAAACGAGCCATTAGGCCACACGGTCCTTATCACAAAAGATTAAAATTATGGAATAGCATCAAATATGTATTAATCGATAGTTTCTAGAA